TACATTATGGTACCCATTTTAGGCTTGGTCGACCTGCGACGCCCCATACAATGATAAAATCCATTCAGCCAGCAGTGGGTTTCGATCGCGGTACGTTGGAATTACGAGTCGGACTCGCAACGCCTAAGCCACGGATGCCGCAGAATAGCAATTGTCCAGTAAAATCCTGTAAACATGACCCACCAAGGGACAGAAAATCGAGTTCTTGGTAAAACAGATAAGTGCTAACGGGAGACCGCCAACAAAAACACATCCTAGCTGGGACCACAGTGTTGTTCACGTTGACGTCGGGGTTCTTCTGAAGGGGATTCGTGTTGTCAAGATTTTATTGTAGTAAAATAACATAAAGTCGGGAGATGGGAACCAGCGTCATTGCACACGGTTATAAACCATAAGTGCTCTGCCACCAGTAAGGACAGCTGATAAGAAACTGTCCGCCTGTGTCGCCGTTCGTACGTAACTCTGTAGCTACAGCGACGTTCCTCGATTTATCCAAGAGTGTCACTCTGGTACCCATTTCCTAGAGGCTGGGTGAACTTCGGGAACCGCCCGGTTTTGAACACCGACCGTGGCTGCGGCGAGTCGCAGCTGTATTTGAAAGCGAGTCTCCTATCGACTGTGCTAACGCGGCTCTTATATGCAGAGTGGCAAATCAATATAACAATATATCTGAAATAATATGATTTTAAAAACAAAGAACTTAGATGCTCTGTGGGAAAAAAAACAGGAAAAGGGGGGGGGGGGGGTGAATAGCTGCCTCCATGACATTTTGCTGGAAGACCTCAATCCTCAGGTTGCGATTGCCCCGACTGTAAATACTCAATCCTCAGGTTGCGATTGCCCCGACTGTAAATACTCAATCCTCAGGTTCCGATTGCCCCGACTGTAAATACTCAGTGTATGGCAAACAAACACACCAAGTGTTTCCAACAGTTGGTAAGCGTTCTTTTTTGTTTATAGAAAAGTGTTGTTTTAATGCATTAACTGATATAGTTGAGCTGAAAAATGCGAAAATCGTACCAACTTTGTGCAGACTAACAGTGTTAGAAAATCACAGAGGTTGGATTACTGCATGTGATGTGAGATTTAACAGAAATGGAGCCAGGAAAATAAGAAGAGAGAAAATCACCTGTAAGAACTAAGAACAACGATAGGCACGGTAGCGGTACATAATTTCATCGAATGTCAAAGAATCAAATGTTTGGTCATCTAGTCAGAATGTAAAGAAATCAGATAGCAAGCGATGGAGGAAGGAAGTCAAAGAGACACTACAGAATCACAATATTACATTGACACAGACTGCGCAATTAGCATAAAATGGGACACTACATCTAACCTCTCTTTGCGACTCTTTAAGACATGAGTAGTAGGACAAAGAAGAAGGAGATTGACATTGTATGTAGCCAGCTGCAGGAGCTAACAAGTATTTACATCACTACACACTGGAATTATTGAGATGTCTTGTGAAACACCGAAAAAACAGTTACGTATTTCTTTAATACCAGTGTAAAGCTAATAATATACTTTTCGTTCGGTTTTATATCTTTATTTTTTTTTTAAATACCAGTGAACGTGAGGAAACTGATAATAACACAGTGACCAATATATATACGTAAGCAGGACACACACAAAAATGCTCTGTTAGCCACTTCAGTCACACTACAGATGCAATATGAATATTTTATTTTATGTATAGAACATTTTGTAATTAGAAATATCTCCGAATTGTTTATTCTTCTTCTTCTTCACTTCCTCTTTTACCGCTGTGGGTGTCGAGGGAGATATAAGGTTCTGTTTCTAGCTCTTCTGGCCGCCTCGACCATAGGCACATCGTGCTGTTGTAGAGTTTCTCTGATGTTATCCTTCCATATTGTTCTTGGTCTACCCCGTGCTCTACGTCCTTCTTCTCTTTCCATGTATGCTTTGTATGGTATGGTGTCACAAGGCATTCTCTCTAAGTGGGCAAACCATTTCACTTGCTGTCTTTGTATGTAATCCAGAATTGGTTCGGTGCCGACTTGTTCTCTTGTGATCTCATTCCTGATCTTATCTCTTATGGTCACTCCTACAGCCCTTCTCAGACATCTCATTTCCGTGGTTACTAATTTTCTTTTATGGTTTGTTGTTAGTGACCATGTTTGGCACTGGTAGCACAGAGTTGGAATAAATGTGCTTTGAATAAGATGTCTCTTTGTGCTGATTGGGATTGTCTTATGCTGTAAGAGGGGGGCTAGCTGTCCCAATACTTGGTTTGCTTTACTGCATCTAATGTCAATTTCTTTATCCAATTTCCCATCTTCGGTAAATGTAGTTCCCAGATATTTAAACTCAGATGCCTGTTTAATGCCTTTGTATTCTATTGCTATGTTTAGATCTGTCTTCTTTTTTCCTATTGACATTACTTCTGTCTTTTCAGTGCTGATTCTCATATTATTTGTTTTACATTCTTCATTCATGGATGTTAGATGTTGTTGCAATTTCATGGCGGTATCTGCTATCAAGGCCTGGTCATCTGCAAAGAGTAATTCGTTGATCTTACAAAGATCTTCATTCATGGGCTTGGCATTCGTGCATATACTGTCGATGTAGGTGATAAACAGCAGTGGTGATAAGACACACCCCTGTCTTACTCCCGATGTCACTGTGAAAGGATGAGATGTTCCCTGATTTATTCTAACTACACTTCTACAATCCCTGTATAAACTTTTGCACACTTCGATGAGGTGTTCGCTTACTCCATATCTTGCCATTATTTTCCATAATAATTGTCTGTCGACTCTGTCAAATGCCTTCTCCTGGTCTACGAATGCTACAAATAAGTTCTTATTGTATTCAATGTTCTTTTCTATTAACTGTTTAAGTGTGAAGATTGCATCTGTGCAGCTTCTATTTCTCCTAAATCCCATCTGTTCTTCTGCCAGCTGTGGTTCTATCACTGGTCACTTTATTAAAAGAATGAAATTGTTTTTATGGGATTGAACGCCACACGTGAGAGCAATCGTAACATGAGGTCTGGAAACTAGGTCTCAGCTGCAAAAGTAAGTTTAGTCATATACGCTTGTCAGCCTGTAATAGGAAGACTTGAACATCCATAATCTAAACTGTTTGTGGTTGCATATATAACAGGACAAATAACGGTGTATGCCTCCATTTTCTAGCTGACATAAATAGGGATACTATCGAGGTCTTAGTGGTGGATTTATTGATTTATGTGGGGGGGGGGGGGGGGAGGGAGGGGTGAGTTTGAGTGTGTGTGTCAGTTGAATAAAACAGCAGCTGCCAAAACCCAGCGGCTGAAAGGCTTTCATGTTGACATGGCTGTAAATGGTGCAATCCCATGTGAACATGGTGAACTTCTTTTCATCTATTTTCTTCTTCACTTCCCCTTATATCAGGTCGGGGGTCGAGGGGATACAGGATTCTAGTTTCTTGTTCTTCTAACTAAGCTAAGACACTTGCTTGACTTTGACACTGCCCCATTATTGGTATGCAGACAGTTGGTTCCTCGTCTGTCAAGCAGATCCGAATTCAAGTAAAAAACATCTAATTCATCTTAAAAAAAAAAAAAAACATCTAATTAATAAGAAGCTAAAAACATTTAATTAGTCTGAAATCAATGATCGCCACTGAAGTTTTTGATCATATGTTATACCTCGCAATCAACTGGCGACTAAAAATTGTCTTCAGACAGACAAAACTTATTTATTTAGCTGCAGATACCAGAAGAAAACTATTGCAGAGAGTACCATTGCTGTAGGACCGCTAGAAACCTGTAGTAAAGTGTTAGAGCACTTTCAGCTCTAGCAGGCGAAAGACAGCCCTGGTGAGCCTTGGCAGTTTCGCCACAAATCTTCCTCTGGCGTTACATGTTTTCATTTAACTATTGTGGGGGTGGGGATGGGGGAGGGTGGGGTGGGGTGAATCCCCATGTTGAAGTGATCAGTCTGTCGGAGGAGGGGTGGATCTCCATGTTGAAGTGATCAGTCTGTTGGAGGAGGGGTGGATCTCCATGTTGAAGTGATCAGTCTGTTGGAGGAGGGGTGGATCTCCATGTTGAAGTGATCAGTCTGTTGGAGGAGGGGTGGATCTCCATGTTGAAGTGATCAGTCTGTCGGAGGAGTGGTGGATCTCCATGTTGAAGTGATGAGTCTGTTGGAGGAGGGGTGGATCTCCATGTTGAAGTGATCAGTCTGTTGGAGGAGGGGTGGATCTCCATGTTGAAGTGATCAGTCTGTTGGAGGAGGGGTGGATCTCCATGTTGAAGTGATCAGTCTGTTGGAGGAGGGGTGGATCTCCATGTTGAAGTGATCAGTTTGTTGAAGGAGGGGCGGATCTCCATGTTGAAGTGATCAGTTTGTTGAAGGAGGGGTGGATCTCCATGTTGAAGTGATCAGTCTGTTGGAGGAGGGGTGGATCTCCATGTTGAAGTGATCAGTCTGTCGGAGGAGGGGTGGATCTCCATGTTGAAGTGATCAGTCTGTTGGAGGAGGGGTGGATCTCCATGTTGAAGTGATCAGTCTGTTGGAGGAGGTGAATTTCCATGTTGAAAAGATCAGCCTGTTGGAGGGGGTGAATCTCCATGTTGAAATAATCAGTCTTTCAGAGGAGGGGTGAATCTCCATGTTGAAGTGATCAGTTTGACTCTACTCTGAAGGTCGTGGGTTACAAATGGCGGACGCGTCATTTAGTTCAGATTGCAATTTTTACCGATACCTCTCATGATCATTGCTGGAGCTTCGAGTTCATGCTCTGGGAAATCGCTAGCCGTTCTACGGAAAATGACTAAATCAGATTAAATATGCCAAGTGTAATGAAGTTAATCTTCTCGACTTCAGTTGTGATTAACAATGTGACCCTTTATATTTCCACATGTAACAACGTTTAGAACAAGACATCTTGAGCTGAATTTTCTTCCTGCGAGTAAAAAATATACATAATATTAAACAGAAGACAGGGAGGGGGCACAGGGAGGGGGCGTGGTTTACTTTACCGTAGTGTTCTTAGTAACATTTGAAACTGGGATCAATGAGTTCATCGTGAATCTTTCGTAGTTCGTCAGCTGAATATTTATGTCCACTAACTTTGTATCTGAATATACAACCATTTGGATCTAGCCTGGCCCAGCTGAATTCACCTTCGCCTATCCGGGGAACTGCAGCCCTGTCCGCAACAAGACCGGTCAGGTAGACGTCTTCCAGGAACAGGTTCTTGACGTATAGGGACTCCACGTACAACCTCATGGCTGCCGTGCTGGTCATGGCGTAGGCTGTGCCGGACAGGTAGTTGGGGAACATCTTCCACGGATACTCGTCTCTAGTGACGTACCATTTGTTCTTCTGATCGCGAAAAGGCAGAGTGTTGTGGTGGACGGCACCCATGATAAACATTGGACCTCTTGTTAGTTGCTCCCGTAGTTTTGCCAGTAGTCGAGGTATGTTTACATAGGCGTCATCTTCTGCTTTTAACACGAATGTGGAGTCTGGACAATAGATGCTTACCCATTTCATTAGAGCCACAGTTTTCAAACTGAGATTGCGGTAGGAGTCTTTAAAAGACTCTTGAACGATGTCTCCATATTTCAACGCTTCTTCGTTGATTTTCTCTTGCATAGTTTTATCATCAGTTGCGCCCAAGAAAAACAAAAGTAACATATTATTTCCTGGATCATTCTTATATTTTCCCCAGGAATCTCGAACTGCCATGCGAGCTTCGAATTTGTTTGCCTTACTGGGGACTCCAGCGATCAGTTCAACTTTCTTTCCTGTACAAACATTGGATGCGTTGTGAATGTATTCAAAATCGTGGGAATTGACCAAAACTCTGTCAGTGATGGCTACCTTCTTCCTGAAGATCTCCAGCAACGTCTGAACTCTGGGAGTGGACTGGTCGTCGTCGGGGAAGTCTTCCTCGTACCACCTGCTCATGAAATCAGACTCGTCTATACTGTCGCTGTAGCCTGCCTCGTTGGATACGAGCAAGGGTCTGTCTTGGGAGGACGCAGAATGGTCCGTAGACACCTCGGCCGCTCTGTAATTGTGTAGGAAGTTGTTCTTGGTGTGAGACCTAGAGCCTGAGAACGCTGCCAGTAGTAGCAGGAAACCCACCAGGAAAATGGAGACGACCACGTACCGGGCGAAGCTGTGTCTGAAGCAGTCAAGTTTGTGACTGAAAGACAAAAAGCATCGATTTGAAGATGAGGCGTTTGTCTCTAAGAACAGTTTATCGACAAGTATTTCCACATCTCTCTCTCTCTCTCTCTCTCTCTCTCTCTCTCTCTCTCTCTCTCTCTCTCTCTCTCTCTCTCTCACGCACACACAAGAAGAAGAAGAAGAAGAAGAAGAAGAGGAAGAAGAAGAAGAAGAAGAAGAAAGAAGAAGAAGGCAACCCATGAAGACACGTTACTTAACACATAAAGAAAAACTGCATCTGAAACCACTTCCACTTGCCCCTTATACACACAGACACACCTGAAGGACTGGTTCTACTCCATCCACAGTGAACAAAATGGACACGGTGGAAAAAACGGGATTCCTGCATCCGTCCCTCTTTCCTTCCACACACACACACATACACACACACACACACACTTGCACACGGATACACACACAATTGAATGATATTTGAAACCTTAGTAAACAAAAACAGAAACAAAAGATATCAATCCATCTCCAACACTATCCCACTGGTTATACACCCCCCACTCCCACACACACAAACACACATACACACACAAACGTGAGCATGCATACAAATATCACATCACTGAAATAAACTAGGGCCACGTCTATTTGTGGAATTATATCTGCATTTCTTCCCATCCAATTCCCCCAACACCCCCCCCCCCCCCGCCCCAGCCCCCATTGCCCTCTCTATCTTTATCTTGCCCCCCCCCCTCTCCATCTCTCTCTCTGATCTACATAGCAATAAAACACACACACACACATACACACACACATACATACACAAACACATACACGGACACAGATATACACAGTTGAAGGACTTGGGATGAAAAGGCATCGGCACCTGGGCTATCAGACTCCTTTAGCGCCTTTATTACAAATTGATTGGAGTGGAGGCTGCCCCTGACTCTCTCCAACCTAATAATTTTTAAGCGACGGGTCTGACCTCTATTGTTATTGTTATTATTATTAGTAATATTATCTTCAATGTTTCCTTTGTATCGACGTACCTGAGAGGATGTACAGTGTGATTGGAGGTAAATGGCTCAATTTCTTTTCTTCTGTATTTAATAGTCCTTCCTGACCGCCACGTCCTCACTCTGAATCTCACTTTATGCACGCTATCTTCATTGAGAGAAAAAAAAAAACAACCCACGATATATTTGGAATCCATCACATCACTTCCACAGACCAGGCTCCATCGATGACAGCTCAGGTATGTTTGCTACACGTTAATGTTGTGTCATTCCAAAATAAATATTTTGATCCTTCAGTATTCTGCTACATACACACTTCATTTAGAGTGTAACTACTTCGGTTGATAGTTAGGAATCTTTATTGTGTGTGTGCGTATGTGCCTGTATGTGTGTGTGTATGTGTATGCGTGCGCGTGTGTGTTAGGGGGGATTATGCGTGGTGTGTGGGTGTGTGTTGATGTGTGTGGGTATGAGTGCTTGAACGAGAGAGAATGAGGCAGTGAGTGATTGAGAGAGCGAGCGAGTAAGTGAGTGAGTGAGTGAGTGAGTGAGTGAGTGAGTGAGTGAGTGAGTGAGTGAGTGAGTGAGTGAGTGAGTGAGTGAGTGAGTGAGTGAGTGAGTGAGTGAGTGAGTGAGTGAGTGAGTGAGTGAGTGAGTGAGTGAGTGAGTGAGTGAGTGAGTGAGTTGAGGGAGGGAGGGAGGGAGAGGGAGGGAGGGCGGGAGGGAGGGAGGGAGGGAGGGAGGGAGGAGGGAGGTGAGTGAGTGATGGAGTGAGTGAGTGAGTGAGTGAGTGAGAGTGAGTGAGTGAGTGAGTGAGTGAGTGAGTGAGTGCGTGGAGTGAGTGAGTGAGTGAGGAGTGAGTGAGTGAGTGAGTGATAGTGAGTGAGTGAGTGAGTGAGTGAGTGAGTGAGTGAGTGAGTGAGTGAGTGAGTGAGTGAGTGAGTGAGTGAGTGAGTGAGTGAGTGAGAATCTACTGGTCTCTCCAAAATGATACTACATGAGGTGGTTGTATGGGCAAGCCAAAAACACACATACTTGGAATCGTCTGTATCTTTCTCGCAGTTGCTGTACGAAAATCACCAGAGAGTCAACAGCAACTGGTGACCTAACGTCACACGTTGTTATGGAACTATGGTGTTGATATGTTTGTGTTTGTGTTGTTTGTGTGTGTATGTGTGACAATGTGTGTATATAAGAGAGAGAGAGAGAGAGAGAGAGAGAGAGAGAGAGAGAGAGAGAGAGAGAGAGAGAGAGAGAGAGAGAGAGAGAGAGAGAGCGAGAGATATCTGTGTATTCGCCATCACGTAACTTTTATATGATTTCAAGAGAATGTATTCTCGTGATCTGTACCATGTAGTTAGTGGTCATCGTGCTGTCCTCAGCTTTCTGTACGTTGTTATCCAATGCTAGATGAATTAGTTACAGGCTCTTGTTATTTTCCCTACATATTTGAGATTTCCAGGTGTGTCAAATCACAACTGAACATTCATAATAAATAAACACACACATATACACACACTTACATGTATACTCTTTGTGTCGGTACGCTTGCGTGAGTGGAAGATAAATATGCATTTAGAGGAACAGTGTTAAAATGCACTGTGTTTTGTGTATTTCAGAGGGCGGCATTCATTTTTGAACTTCATTAGATTGTGTTGTCGATTGTCGACGATGAAACTAACAACACAGTAAAGTAACCCGGACAATGTGTTATTTGTGTCCTAGTTTTTGTTTTTCTGCTTTTGATATTCTTATTTGTCCTACTTCTCCACGCCTCATCCTTATCACCATCGTCGTCTTCTTTTACTTCTTCTTCGACATCTAATTTCTTCTCCTCTTCATTTTATTCATCTTCATATGTGTCTTCTTCTTCTCCCATCACAATACATTTCTCTGTCGCAGATAATATCTCATTCCTTCATACCCTGTCCTCAGAAGTTCAGTTACAGTTTGTCTGGTCAACTGGCTCGTATATACTCTTTACATATACATTTATGTATGTTAGCTATTTCTGTGTGTAAACTACTTGAGCATGTAAGCAGCCAGGAGTCTCGGCTGTACAGTGACCGGCACACATCCCGGTCGGCCAGACACTTGTAGATTCCAATTGTAATATGTGAATGTTTTCAGTCAACATGAGCTTCCAGGTCGACTTGGCATATAACAGGTAGCAGTAGCAGAATATATTCCATCAAGTAAAGCCATCAGTATGATATTCCATCAAGTAAAGTAATCAGTATGATATTCCATCAAGTAAAGCCATCAGTATGATATTCCATCAAGTAAAGTAATCAGTATGATATTCCATCAAGTAAAGTCATCAGTATGATATTCCATCAAGTAAAGCCATCAGTATGATATTCCATCAAGTAAAGCCATCAGTATGATATTCCATCAAGTAAAGCCATCAGTATGATATTCCATCAAGTAAAGCCATCAGTATGATATTCCATCAAGTAAAGCCATCAGTATGATATTCCATCAAGTAAAGCCATCAGTATGATATTCCATCAAGTAAAGCCATCAGTATGATATTCCATCAAGTAAAGCCATCAGTATGATATTCCATCAAGTAAAGCCATCAGTATGATATTCCATCAAGTAAAGTAATCAGTATGATATTCCATCAAGTAAAGCCATCAGTATGATATTCCATCAAGTAAAGTAATCAGTATGATATTCCATCAAGTAAAGCCATCAGTATGATATTCCATCAAGTAAAGCCATCAGTATGATATTCCATCAAGTAAAGCCATCAGTATGATATTCCATCAAGTAAAGCCATCAGTATGATATTCCATCAAGTAAAGCCATCAGTATGATATTCCATCAAGTAAAGTAATCAGTATGATATTCCATCAAGTAAAGCCATCAGTATAATATTCCATCAAGTATAGCCCTCAGTATGATATTCCATCAAGTAAAGCCATCAGTATGATATTCCGTCAAGTAAAGCCATCAGTATGATATTCCATCAAGTAAAGCCATCAGTATGATATTCCATCAAGTAAAGCCATCAGTATGATATTCCATCAAGTAAAGCCATCAGTATGATATTCCATTAAGTAAAGCCATCAGTATGATATTCCATCAAGTAAAGCCATCAGTATGATATTCCATCAAGTTAAGCCATCAGTATGATTGTCGCGAGACGCCGCTTAAAGTAGACAAGATACTTGGCTGACGTACCACCCCTTTGTGACCCTTCTATTTTTCCCTCTTACATGCGCCCAGTGACTTCATTTTCGTCATAAGACGCATTGAGAGATATCCCGGTTATAGCCTACGGTTGCTGTTTGGGGATTTTCCATTGTCTTATTTGTAATTCCCCTGAGCTTTCACGTATAAAAATATACGGCTAGTAACTCGGCAACGTAGCGGAAAAATCCTGGCCAAACACCGGATCCCGCAGTGAGACAAA